GGGGTGGAAAATCTTTCAACAAATAATCTTGCAAACACTGGTTGTCTATTTTGTAGGGGGGAAAAAAAACTTTGATCCTTACATTAAATGATACACATATATAATTCAAAACAGAATATTGAGTTAAACTATGGCCCTAAACTATGATGTTACTAGAAGGATAAGATAAATTTGTGTGTGTTATGATAGGCAAAGATTTATGTAACTATACATGAAATGCATTAAATATTAAAAACGGATAAATAGAACTGCATCATAATTAATAAATTTCTATAGATTGAAATATATAGGTCAGCAAAAATGCAGGCAAGTCATAGACATGGAGAAAATCACAAGGCAATATAATACAATACATATATTTGATGAATATTTTGTATCAATAATATATAAAGTGCTCTTATATTTCAGTAATAGCAAAAATGGTAAAATACTTAAATTAAAACTTTATAAGATAAAAAAGACATATGATTGTCCAATGAATCACTACTATTAGTCATCAAAGAAATATAAATTTAAGCAATAATAAGGTACAACACACCTACTAGAATAAGTAAACTTCAAAGTCTGACAGCACAGAAAATGTTGGTGGTGACAAAGGGCTGAGACCCATGTATTAGTGGTAGTAGTGTAAAATGGTACCATCCTTCTTGAAAATTATTTGCTAGATTTAAAAAATTAAACAAATATCCATCTACTTTGTGACCCAATAGTTCCTCTCAGGAATTTTTTTTTATAGAAAATAAATGTACATCCACAGAACTTCTTGTACATGAATCTTTATGGCAGCTTAATACAAAATAGCAAAAGTTGTCTGTCAACAGACAAAATGATAAATGTACTGCAGTAGATTCAAACAATGGAATGCTATTAAATAAAAAAGAAAGTAGATAACTTACAATATTGAAGAATATGAAAAACTTTATCCTTGGTGAGAAAAGTCAGATGCAAAAAAGTACACACCATTTAGTTGCATGAAGTTCTAGAAAAGACAAAACTCATCTGTGGTGATTTTAACCAAAACAGTGGCTGTTTCAAGGATGGCTGATTGCTTATAAGAAAGGAAAAGGGGATGTTCTTGGTGTTAGGGAAAGGTTCTCCACAGTTTACCCTAGAATAACATGAGTTTAAGCTGCATAAGTCCAGTCATGTGTGGATTTTCTAGAGCCTCTGCCACCCCTGTGACTAACCCCTTCTCATCAGCCTTCTCTACATGGAGACACTGAGAATAGAGTTCCACAATGACCAATTTCCACTTAACATATAGTATATATATTTTCTCTTTTTTTATGATTTTTATTTTTTTATTAAGTCACATATATATAGATCATGCATACATTTGTGCCTTTGTGAGATTTAAAGAATTGATTATTTGTACAAATTGGAGTGCTTACATCCTAGTAATTAACATAGCTTTCACCTCATTTACTTAATCACAGTGTTAAGACATTTGTGTTCTATACTTGATAGATTTGACTTGTACTGTTGCAATATACCAAAGTTGTGGTCCCACCATTGACGCTTCCTCAAATGGTCCCATCTTTTACTTTCTCATCCCCTGTCCCCTTCCCTCCTTCATCCTGGGCTATAGTTGTGATTCATCTTTCATATGAAAGTATGAGTGATTATAAATTGGTTTCATA